CCGGGCTAATTATCTGAGAACCATATTGGCGCGGGAAGGCGAGGTGGAGGAATAACAATTGTGAACGAGGCAACGACTTGCTGCGGACACCACGATCGCCTCTTCCTCGTCGCCACGTAGGGTCGGTTCAAAAATGGTATCCCGCCACTGTCTGGGTAAATGCGAGTGCGACATTCCCTCCCCTGCCTCGGGCCAGCGAAACCGAACGCCAACACGAACCCCCAGAATTTTCGTCGCAAATCTGTGATTTCCCAACCAATTCTTGTTGAACCGACAGAGACGACAGAGCAGTAGACATTCTAAATATAAAGACTATATATATAGACTATGTACGAATAGTATTGCTAAAAAATATACTCAAGGGAGGTATTTTTGGGGCTGAAGGACATCCACACACCACAGAGATGAGAACCTGTTCGTGCAGGGAGGTAGCGTGGTGCCGTCTCTGTATCTTGGCATCACCCCGTGCACAAAACCTCGCATGCATGCGTCGGTGGACACGTGTTGTAGTTTGTAGCTCTGACAGATGAGATTAGAGCAAGGGAAGAGAGTAGCGCACACACCTTCCGTCTTCCGTAAGGTCGATCCGGAACAACGCTGGCTGTGGCACTCCTGTGTTTGGCGGCGGCTGCTGCTCCTGCCGTGCGAGGCGGGGTCGGCAAAGTGTGTGCGTGTGGTAAGACAGGAAGTAGTGGGCCATTCGTCGAGAGAATAGACTAATAGGGAAGTCAGATACAACAGTAGTAGACTATTCGTAGAGTTTTTTTTTTTCTTAATATCACACAGCAAATCCATCTCCATCATCTATAGAAATAAGTCTAAGTTAGACTTTAAGATAGATTAGCAATGAATCCATAGCGTGAGCGAAAGGCTACCTGGATGTCCACGGTTTCCCAGACAGCATTCAACGATAACTCACCTGTGGGTAACAGGCTAAACAAGGCAGTTTGGTAGCCATCTCGTGTATCTATCGGTCTGTCTGTCTGGATGTTATGTTGGGAAGTTGTAGACGGAAGATTTAGGGGAACTTGGTTTGTCGGGTCTTCTATTGTAGGACCCTTACGTGGTTGCGGAGCAAGCGCGTCTCGGGGTGTGTATATTTTCGTCATCAATATTTTTTTTGTGTGTGATGTACGGAGGCATGTGCGGCGCGGGAGAACATATTTACCTTGTTTTATTATTATTTTGTTTGCCCTCCGACAATTGCAGATAAATGCAGACATACATAAAAAGTCGATCGTAAAGGCCGTCATGCCAAGCCAAATTAACTCGATGCCCAATAGCTAGGAATGTTTACCTCTAAGTCAACAAAACTTTTGTCGAAACACTACAGCTGAACTCTAGGCACGAACCTTGGATGGAGAAAAACGAACAAAACCCCAACCTCATCCACCCGAAATCAAACAAAACTCGGCCCCGTCTTCCCTGGTACCCCTGATGACACCGTATTGAACAGAAATCCGCTTTCCACCGAAGTGGTTAGGTTATTCGAGCGAAGCGAGATTTCTAATCTCGCCTGAGGTCTCACCGCAATAATAGGCTCCATGCAGAAAAAAATAGTTTGTGCGTGTGTTCGCTTAAACTAGGTTTGAGTGTACAGCAGTACATTACTTGGTATTAAAGGGGGGGGGTCAGCAGACAGAACACAGAACACACGATGTTGTTGCAGTGCAGACAGAACACGCGCTCAGCGGGCACGGCGACCCACGCACACCGGTCAGAGCACACCAAGCAGAGCGGACACAGCCACAGCGAGAGACAGCCACAGCGAGTGACAAAAAAGCCAGCATGGCTATTGCATGAATAGACTTCCGTTGCGGTCGATTGACCCGAACTCTCTCCGTGAGGCGGAGGCGCACACAGACTCACGGCGCAGACAAAGCCACGGGGAGAGGGAGTCCCAAGGCAGCCCACAGCTTGACAGGGCGAGAGCTGCTGCTCGTCAGAGGACTGCCGCCAGGCGTGCGACGGAGACCGATGGAGCACGGGCAGAAAGGTGCGTTGCGTGTGCGTGTGGGCGGCGATTGCCCCAGGAAATTTAATAACCGCAGAGTTCAAAT